AAGAAGAGAGAATAACTGATCATATCAATATACTAACTCTAAAAGAAACTAACAAAAGTAAACAAAATCAAAGGAGGCATAAAAACATAAAAATGTAATGAGATAGGGCAAATATTAAGAATGTAGAGAAAGAGAAGAAGGTAAAGGTAAAGGCTGAAATTAACCGACATAAAAAATAAAAATTTCTAGACACATCCTTAATCAGCAAATATGAACAAAGAGAAAGCTCCCGCAATTAGGGTGTCGCAGTGAGCAAATTAATCAATTAATTACCTAGTGGGAAGGAAAAATGAGCGAGGAACAAAATAGATACCTGCTCAATGAGGTAAGTGACCATGGTTAAGCCCCATAAATTTAAGCAAAAATGGGCTTTTTGATTCCAACAGTCCTTCCCCTCCGAGCTTTTCAAGCTTGTGCTCATCTGAAAGAAGCCTTTTCCTTCTTGGCTGCCTTATCCCTCAGGTCCTATATTTGAGGCAAGCAACTTAAAGAGTGTGGGTTTGGCTGTAACATAAAAACAATACAAAAGGTTGAAAGCAAGTTGGCATCAGCAAAATCAACTGGGCAGTTGGCCAATGTAAAGTAATCAACAATATCTCCAGCCTAACGACCATGAATATTGACAGCATTCCATGCGGGATTATTATGGCAAAACTTAAAGATGCATGATAATCCCGGCTGAAATACATAAAATTTAAATCATCAGTTTCTAGGACAGAAACAAAAATCCCTAACCAAAGAATCTTGTCAAAGTTGTCTTTGTAAAACTTGATTCACGGGCAGGAAGGAACCTTCAGGCGTTGCTTCAGAATGCCTCCTTTGCCTCGTGGATACGAAACAAACATGAAAGGCCACTTGACAATCTAGTTAAATCTTTCTTTCGGTGGGCAGGGCAAGCCGCCAAATTCCAAACGGTCTGTTTGGGTCGCTTCTCAAACAAAGGGTTGAAGAACCTTTTTCCCTACAAATTATCAAAGTCAAATGAAATAATTAGTTTTAGAATGCTGAAGAACATATCAAACTAGAATTGAATAGAAAATGAGTAAGCATCATTATGCAGAAAAATATATTTATGCGAGTGTAGTTGTGAAAAGACAGAATGGAGAAGAGACTAGCTTACAGGCTTCTTCTTTGCCAAAGCTGGGGTCTTTACACCTTTTTTCGGAGCCTGTAAACAAATATAAAGACACGGAGAGGAAATAACAAAAGCAGGAGCACATAAATCAAGAAAACCAATATAACGGACTTCAATAGAGTAATACAATTCGAATAGCTAATTGCACAAAAAAATAAAAAGCAAAATTTCTTAAAGGTAAAACTTTTCTAGGTTGGTTAATATTTAATAATAGCAGTAATTTCGCTATGCAGATTGTCCAGTGTTTATCGGCCCAAACTATTCCAGGCAATAATTTAAG